GTGTGTGTGTGTGTGTGTGTCTAATGAGGATTGGCTGAGCTAAATAAAGACTCTTACGGTAATCCATGGCCCACAGGAGAGTTCTAATAATGAACTGTTCATACGGTGTGAGTCTACGTTTGTGTGTTTTGTCTGTGTAAGTGAGTCTGTCTGCTATTATTGAGATTTATAGTTACACAACAAAGAATTAGCCCGATTATTCCAGATAAAATTAGACAGAACATACACGATAATGTGATTTCACACCTATTTACACCACATGTCACCAAAATAAACCTTCACTAAGTAATTATTGCCTCCTCAACTGTGAGCAGCAAACTTTTATTTTGAACACTTATGCACTGATCATTATTCTATTTATACAATGTGAATAATTCTGTTGTGGAACTATTAGCAAGATGCTAACATCAGGGCGTACACCATTTAAACGTGTGATTCACAATTCAAGCACACCCATAAAATCGCAGACAATAAACAAGAGTGCTAAACAAAAGAACATGCAAAGGTTTGAATTATGAAAGAACACAAGGACACATGAATAAGTGGTAATAATTCAAGTTAAAGCAGAAATTCACTTAATTAAACAGATTTCTTTAGGCTACAAAAAAGCTTACTGCTAGCTGTCAGTTAGCTTAGCTCAGCCTAACAAAAAGACAGGAAACACATGTTAAAAGCTAGCCTAGCTCCATCTAAAGATCTGCACCCATTTCTACATCCAGCATATTAATAACGTGATGAATTTGATCTATTGCCTTTGGTGGTGAACAAACTGTGGGGTCTTTATTTTCAGACTACTTTGAAAAAATAAATAAAATAAAGAAGAACATGAAATTGAAAAGAGGGTGTTTTACAGTCCATGATGTTGTTTTTATCCTGTGTGCACTGTGGGCCTTGTTTTACAAGAAATCGTGCACAGGCATCGGAAGCAAAAGAAGATGTGATGTTCCTCTTCACACAGAGGAAAATCCTCCACACATATCAGCAGTTTTTATTTTGGAGTAGAATTTAGTGTTTCAAATGCACCTGTGATTTTGAAATAACTGTACAGGATGTACAGACTCTACAGGATGCTCATTCTTTTAATTTGTCCACATACAATGAGAAAACAATAACGGTCCTAAATATTTGTGAAACTTCACTAAAGCATCATTGCATATCGCCAACAATCACTCTTCAGTCTAATCATTGGGTTAAAGAACTATGCATTCATTCTGATTGTCTCTGTAATCTCGACATGACAGCGCCGTCATTTGTCGTCTTCCTGGTCACAATCTCCCTCTGTCATTACGCTGCCATAGCCTGAAACTCACAATCTGTTGACATGGCAACTGCACTGCACCGGCACATCCACATCCATCCCCCCCAAGGGTCAGAGACTGTGTCATCATGATAAAGGAATTCATGACAGGTTTTTGTCAAATAAATCTAACATAATGGCATAGGTGGCTTATCATTGCAGTAGCTTATACAGCACTTGAATTATTGGTTTCTATTTTCAACCTAAATTGCTATATCAATATAGAAAATTATTTGAGTGTATTTCACTGATTTGGTGTTGGTATCAGTAGAGATGATTATCGGTTTTTTTGAGGTTAGGTATTTCCTGCAGCCGAGATACACGTGCAAGAGCAGCACAGTGGCCTACATCCAGGGAGCTTGTTGAATCGCCCTAGAAATGGATACAGCAAAACCTCACAGACTAAAAACCTTCAGGGGGACAACGTGTTCATGCTGTATGTACAATATATCTTGTTGAACTGGCTTGGAAATAAAACACAAAGGCCTAAGAATCCCTCTGTGCATCAGCAGCGTCCAAGTCGGTACCGTCCGAAGTTAGACAAAGACACAGACATCAAACCCACAAGAGCAGCAGAAAAAAGGTGGACACAATGGTCTCTGGCGCATTCTGGCATTAGCATTGTCACCTTTGGCTGTGTAAATAATGCAAGACAGTCATTGGCTGATTATTAAATTATTCAGCAGGGGAGCGGATCACAAGATATAAGGTCCCAGCCCAAGACACAGGACCAGACCTGCACATGCAGCGACCAAACACAGACAGACGCAGACAAACCAGAAGACATATAGTCCAACTTGACTAATATCATTACCATGTGCATTCAGCACCATGCTACTGCTTTGGTCTGACTCAGTATTTGTTGTAGATGATGGTAATTAATCATGATTTATCATAAGGGGGGCCTGCTGTCATGTGTAGATGTGTCAATAAAGCTGTGAGGTTTGATAATTTTATTCAGCCGGGATTATATCCAATAGCCCAGTGACCTATATGCAACTTTGCTTGGAATTTTAAATGAATGTGTACACAGAAATATACATTAATCTGTATTCCTGTAGGTTAAAATGACTTTGCAGACGCACAGAAATTCAATAAATGTGATTGCTATGTGTCAGTCCACCTTAAAATATGGCCTTTTCTGCTGACTTGTCTCCTGTCTGACTTTCTCTCTTGTGCTCTGAGTGTCCATCATCTTTACTGGCGGTTGACACACAGGGTGAGCAGGGGGTTCACCACTATGGCTGCATCAATTCATTATGGCACCACACCCATTTAAGCAAAGGGGAATTAACAAACGACTAGTCTTAATGGCTCTTATGGCTGTGATGGCATGTGGCCTGTGCATGTTTCTGCACGTGTGTGTGTGTGTAGGGGCCTGTTGCCTCTTACGAGCATGCAGTCTGAGGAATAGAAGCGGAAATGAGTGCACTTACAGTCCAGGTGCTTTTTCTTGGGCGCCATCACTTCATGAGTGGTGGCTTTGCAGACAGCTCGGGCCATGTCTGATCCCGTTAGCTGGTACTGCGCAGCGGCGATGCGATCCGTGAGCGTTTGCCCCGACATTTTCTCTCTCCCGCTGAATGGACCAGCTGAGGAAAACGCGTCTCGGAGCAGGGGACGATGCAATGAAGAAAGATAAACGTGAATAAAACCCAGGTGGTGCGGCTCGGTCGAGCGGATCCCGTGCGTTTCCTCCCCGATGTAGGCCTGTGACCTTCTGTGTGGGCGGAAAAAACACGCACAGGATGAGCTAATATCACACTTAAGTGTTATTCTCGCATGGAATCGTGCGGTCACGTTGATCGTGTGTGTGGTGACATGATTGGACTTACGCAAGGTTGTGAATCCCCCCACGGCTTGTCCCGTTCCCAGGTCCGGACCGCTCGGTTCAGCACCTTGGACAGCTCGAGCCACCCGGTTATGTAAGAGTCAAGTGGCGGTGGAAGCTGCTCCCTCAGCCCGCAGCAATAATTTCTCAAATGGACCAATGAACGATGCTGCACCACTGAACCTCTTCTGCTCGTTTATATAGATATATTTAGAAAAATGATCGAATGCAATGAATCTTAACAGGCTGCGCAAAGATCCAGTTTGGAGGGCGCATCAGGTTTGGCTGCTTCCCCTCCTGCAGGAGTGCATTCAAATAAAGACCGGAAAAACCCCGCAATGGTTCCCTCTGTGGTCAGATTGCGGTGTTTCCTCTCTTCTCCTCACTGGTCTGTGCGTTCCGGCTCAGAAATGCCGCTTCACACACAGAGAAAAATTGCGCACCGCTCCCCCAGTGGTGCTCATGCGCAAGATGCTCTGGAAGAGAAGGGGGGAAAAGGCAGATGGGAATTTCCTTTCGCTCCTTCCCCCTCCTGTCAATTGTTTATTTATTAATTTGGTTTATCTTTATATATGACCATCACCACCGGAGGCTCCTCCCCTCCTCCAGAGGGTGCTGCTTGGTTGGATGACACACGTCGCATGCACGTCTCTTCAAGGGGAGTGGACATGGTTAGCAAAAAACCCGGATCACGATGCGCCAAAAGGGTTAAAAAAAAAACGAGCGTGACTTTGGCTCCTGTGCATGTGTATGCATCACGCAGGTTTGCACACAGTGTATGCCCAATGGCAGATGATGGGAGGTGGGGGGTCTCCTGGTGAAACCACCACCTAATAGTCCACATAATGATCAGCTGAGGCTTTATATGCGGACCGAGCCTCAGGAAGCTTCAACCTGAGCAGTACACCATTTAATAAAACTTCATATTTGCACTGCATCGGCCTGAAAAACTGCATTTTATTGTCTTAACGTTATTTAGGAAAGGCCTGTATCACATGTGTACACACTCAATATGTGGCCAGGCAGATTATTAGGAGCATGCATGTTCCATACTAAGTGTGAATCATCAATCCGCTGCATCATAGTAAAAACCACCCGTGCGCAAAAGCTCACCGTCAGACGGCGCCGTACGTGCTTACGTCACGTGACGTAAGCGGAAGTGTAGCCACGTTGTCAATGGGAGGAGAAGAGGAACCGGAGAAACTGGAATCTGCGGTGCAAACGGAGCCCAGCACAGCTTTGGAAAGGTAAGTGAATTAAGAACATCTCTTCTGCTACTGTTTTACGTTCTGCAGGATAAAGCTCCACTTTGTGATGCGTATCGATATTTTATTATGTTTGTCAGACGACATACAAAGTTCGCCCTCTCCTTGTTTGTATCAGTTGTTGCGTTCATTTGCATGAGAACGTTCAGTTCATTATGCTTTTCTCCTTCAAACCATAGCGATGTATGTTCTTCGCTTGAGTTGCTGTAGTTTGCGTCTTTGCTGTTCGACAGTCTGTGATTTGTCCCTGATTTTCAGGAGCTATATTGAGTTTGTCTCAAGGTGCGTGTGCTCTCATTATTTACAACAGATTTAACTTCCCAAAAACTGATCACTATAAACGTTATGACAACTTACATGATTCTATAACAACTATTCTGTCGTAATGTACATACACTTGGGTGATGACATCTGTTTCGCTGTTTCTTGTTTAAACCTACCCTGTCGTTTAAAATTACAAACTTAATACCGTTAATATGAAAATGTATTTCATTCACTTTAGTAGTCAAAATTAGTTAACTTATTGTACTGTTGAAACTAACTTTGATTAATATACATCCAGCACGACTGGCACTGGATGACCTCTGATGAGGACTATGAAATCATGTCAGATAATCTTATCTGACAATAAAACAATATCAATAATTGTCCCAATATAACTGGGATCCATAGCAATATAACTATAACAATATATCTAAAGTCCAGGGCATATTGATATCTTGCTCATGCTCTCTGTTAGCTCTGGGAGGAGGTGAAGTGTTTTGTTGTTTATCATGTGTTGGTCACTCTCTGCCCATAAAGAAGAGTTTAAACCACAACCTTCACTCAGGAGCAAAAATTCGTTGTAACACTTAGAAGCAATAATGATTTTAAAAAAAAAAGATAATGTGACATTTACGGTGCTAATTATCGATATTGACCGGTATAAACATTTTTGTCATGATAATATTTTGGCCATATCGCCCAGCCCTAAAATAGCCTGGACCAAAACATGCGACCTAGATTCTTTTGACAAATGACAACTTTATTGGTTAAAAACCTTAAATTGAGCCCCCTACAATGTTAATGTGCTAATGTATTTCAGTCATGGCCCAGTTCTTGGAAGTATCAAAGCTGTCCAGTCAGCACCAGAAGCCTGCAGGGTTGGTTTTGCAATATGGCACCGCCGGCTTCAGGACCAACGCCAAACTGCTGGACCACATCATGTTCAGGATGGGACTGCTGGCCACGCTCCGCTCCAAGAAGACCAAGGCCACCATTGGAGTGATGGTCACTGCATCTCACAACCCAGAGGTGGTGTAGCAAAATAATTATTGTGGCATTTATAACCTCATCCATTTGAAAATATTCATGTTTCACCCCACCCTGATACCAACCTGTTTAACTGTTCCTTCAAACACATCATATTCATAACTCTCCATTTCTTTGGGTGTGCAGGAGGACAACGGGGTGAAGCTGATCGACCCCATGGGAGAGATGGTGACACCGGGATGGGAGAGCTATGCCACCGAGCTGGCCAATGCAGAGCAGGACGATTTACTCACTGCTTTGAAAGACATTATAGAGAAAGAGGCCATTAACATGAGCCAGGGGGCGAATGTGTTTGTGGGCAGAGACACCAGGTAAAAGGTTTTTACTGATCTGTTGAGTAATATTTAATTTGATGAGGCAGAATTAAACAAATGTAATATATATGGAAATATAATGCAGGTAAGAGTATCTAGTAGTAAATAAGTGCTTTTAATTTCTTTTAGTATCATTGATTTTTAGTGAGCAGACATCGAGACATACATTTTTTCAAATCTACAATAATGTTTTTGCCAAAATTTAAAAAAGTTACCGCACTTGTGCACATGAGAGCTTCTCCTGTTTAACTTGACTTTTTAAAAAGTGAAAATATTCATTATAATATCTTATTAATCCTACAGATTGTCCTCTGAGTCTGCACAGATAAACCTGTATTTAATATTTGGATTAATCCTCCTCATTCAAATTAAATATTTGCCCTTGAATTACAGGAGCAGTAGTGCCACTCTTACACAGGCAGTTCTGGATGGAGTGAGTGCTCTCGGTGGTCACAGCAAAGGTAAGGTTAATTAAACTCCTTCTCATTTCTATGGATTTGATTGTTTGCTGGCTTTGATTAATTTCTCATCTCTGTCTCTATTCACTTCTTTTCTCCCCTTTTCTTCGTCTGATTCTCTCCATCTTTCCTATCAGACTATGGTTTGGTGACCACTCCGCAGCTCCACTACATGGTTTGCTGTCAGAACACACAGGGGAAATATGGGGATGCCACCGTGGAAGGCTACAACCACAAACTGTGCCAGGCCTTCATTCAGCTCATCAAGAATGTAAGAAAATAGGGTGTGTCTTGTGTATATTGACTTCATTAGATAAAACTCTTTGTTTTTGTTTTGCTCAACAAGCAATCGCTCCTTTTCTTCCTTCCCTCCATCTCATCCTCTTTGGTAGGCGTCCAACTGCACTGATGACCAGAAGCATCTCTCTGTGGATGGCGCGAATGGCATTGGTGCTCTGAAGCTGCGAGAGATGGAGAGTCGTCTGAAGACGGAACTGCAGATTTCTCTCTTCAACGACGGCAGCAAGGGGAAGCTCAACCACCAATGTGGAGCCGACTTTGTCAAAGTGCAGCAAAAACCTCCCACGGGTAAAACACATTTAAAAAAGTCTGACTGTCCTTGTCCACATTGTTTTGAAGGTGTAGAGAGACGTCAGGAAAGGATTTTAATGAACAACAACTAAGTATGATTAGTACCTGCAGCTGTGATCTGTTGTTTCTGTGCTTTAATTCATATTAAATTTTGGCTTTAAACTCACTATTTTAGTGCCATTTTCATGAAGAAACATGTATAATGATTTTATTTCCTAGAAATCCAACAACACCATCTGCTAGTGTCATATCTGTCTTTACAAGTGTAGTTTACTTGTGCAATGTTCTGGAATGGGCAGTTTGCTTGGTCTGTGTTGGTGCTGGTTGCAGCTTTCTTTCTGAAACTATAAAAGTGTAATTGAGCCGTGGTGAGTGAAGACCGACTGCAGAACTCAGTCCACAGATCACTGAAGCTGCACCCCCGAAGGTTCAAAGTTCAGTGAAGCTCGACTTAGATATTGACACTAAGTACTCACTAGTGTAAATATCTGTCTCTACAATTGTTTTGCAATAACCACATCTTTTGAAGGTTTTACGATGAACCCCGGGGAGCGTGGTTGTTCCTTCGACGGCGACGCTGACCGAATCGTTTATTACTACACGGACTCTGAGGGACAGTTTCACCTGCTGGATGGAGACAAGATCGCTACTCTCATCAGCACTTACCTCAAAGAGCTGCTCACACAGGTGCTCTCTCATATAGAAACATTCAAACAATAAACAGGCCCGTACACACAAACTCTTCACTATTCATTTTTCTCTGTGGATAAACAGGCTGGTTTAGACTTGAAGATAGCAGTGGTCCAAACCGCTTACGCTAATGGCAGCTCAACACACTATCTGGAGAATACTATGAAGGTGAGAAAACACACACACACACACACACACACACACACACACACACACACACACACACACTGCATTACTGCTCTTTCCATATTTCAAGTTGGTGCTTATATATGTTGTTGTGACATTCTGTAGGTAGTAGTGCGATGCACTAAAACTGGAGTGAAGCATCTTCATCATGCAGCCCAGGAGTTTGACATTGGCGTGTACTTTGAGGCCAATGGTCACGGAACTGTGAGTTTATCAGACACACAAACAAAAGCTCTAATAATCCACAATCTAGCACCTCTGAACATTATGTGTTGTGTTTAGGTGTTGTTCAGTCAAGCAGCTGAAGAGAAGATCCAGCAGCTCACTGAGGACCCCAACATCAACGACGAGAGGAAGAGAGCAGCCCTCCTGCTGCAGAGCACTATTAACCTCATCAACCAGGTAGACACACACACACACACATACACACACACACACACACACACAAACACATACATATCTATGTATAGATATTTGTTAACATTATTTATGTTTATTTCTTCTTAAGACTGTAGGTGATGCGATTTCTGACATGCTGCTGATTGAAGCTATATTAGCCATCAAGGGTATGACTGTCCAGCAGTGGGATGCGATCTACAGTGACCTGCCAAACCGGCAGCTGAAAGTCAAGGTACTCATGTTTTCATTGTATTACCATGTATAATATTTCTGATAGTTAATCCTGGCTAACTGTATAGG